AACTCCACTTCCCACTACCCATCCCTTCCAGTGGGCAGCCCAGAGTAGGTATTTGTTTAAAAAACATTTGCCAAAAGCTCTTAGAGATAGGTCTAAAGGAAAAACCAGCCATTTTTCATGTTACCACAGTAATATGAAACATCATTTATTCTTTTTTGGTGGACTTAGATTTTGTTTTATTTATCTATTTTGTATGGAATCACCATGAGATACACAGCTATAAAGCTGTTCATGATTGGACTTTAGTCATACAATGTTTAAATGGGGTCCCTTTACCAGTGTACATTTCCCACCACCAATGTCCCCAGTTTCCCTTCCACCACCCCAACCCTTCCAACCTGCCTCTACAGTAGGCACTTTCCTTCTTTCTCTCATTCTCTTTCTCATTTACTCTTTTTGTTGGTTTTTTTGGGGGGCCACACTTGGCAATGCTCAGTGCTTACTTCTGGATATGTGCTCAGGGATCTCTACTGATGGGACTTGGGGGACCATACGTGGTGCTGGGGATCAAATCCTCATTAACTGCATACAAGGTTAGTACTTTATCTGCACTAACTCTCTCTGGTCCTGCATCATTTACTCTCATGCGAGGTCTTCTTTGCAGGGACATTGAGGACTTACAGAAAAGGCTTTATTCTGAGGAAGGAGAAAGATAAATATAAAAATCCAGCCTTTCAGCCTTCTGTATATACATTATTATTTATTTATTTTGGTTTGGGGGCCACACACAGCAGTGCTTGGGGACTATTCTCCAGCTCTGTGTTAAGGAGTTGCTCCCAGCAATACTAGGGATCAAATCTTGATCTTATGCATGCAAAGCATGAGCTCTGCCCATTGAGCTGGCTTTCTGTCAAATGTGTACAGAGTTCACAGTTCAAGTGGACATCCCCTGATTGCACCTGCCCAGTAGTGGAAACCTGTCTTGGGCAAACCTCAAGTGCCTGCTAGAAAGACATCTTACTTATGCCCCCCGCCGCTTCCTCAGTTCCAAGTTCACTGGGAAGCTGATCTGTTTCCTTCCTCCCAATGACTAATGATACTTTGTGTTCTGGGTCTTACTTCTGGTAGCTTCCATAAATATGTTTGCTTCTGTGTTATAAGACCTATTTCTGACTTGCAAAGCCAGTTTCATTTCATTTTGGGTAAAGACCTTTGTCTTCAAAGAATATAAATTGCTCCCATGTCTTACCTCAATTGAATCTGATAACAAACTTTGAGGTGGACATAGTTTATTATTCCACTTTACAGAGGAGAAAATTGCAAAATTTAATGACAGACTGCTGAGCATTATGAAGAAAATACAAATCTTTTGCATCAAAAATGAAATAACTGTGAGCCAGAGATTAAGAATGTGTTAAGATGCTTGCCTTTCACACAGACAACTCTACTGTGATCAACTCTACTTTGATCCTTGATATCACATGCCCACCAGCACCCCCCCCCACCCTGCCCAAGCACTGCCAAGAGTGATCCCTGAGCACAGAGCACAGCTGGGTGTGACCTAAAACCCTGTCCACACATATAAAAATGAAAGAATTCATGATGTGCAAAGAACCCTCATAGAGACTGGGGGTGTGGCTCAGAGGTGAGGCTAAAACCTTGCATACATGAGTTCCTGGGTTTGATTCTAGCATGTGAAAATGGGAAAAAATCATTAGAATTTTTTTTAAATTGTCACATGCTAAACAGTACTCACTAAAATCATGAGGCAGATACTTTTTGTTGGGTGGTATTTTCTGGCTTGGGAAAGGTGAGGAGTTGAGAGGTAAGGAAACAAATTCTCAGTTATAGAATCGACCTAACCTACAATGATATCTAGAATTTCATAGGGTCAAAATAACAAGAAGGAAGATGAGGAGGAGGAGGATGGAACTAAAAAGAAGCTTACTGTAGGAGAGACGCCATCCTCTGTTCATTAAATGTATTCACAGACCTTAGCAACACCACTATCATACAGACAAGAAAAAGAAGGCAGAGAAGGTAAGTAACTTGCCCACAATTATACACCTTCTCCCTGGACACCGAAGAGGATATGGATTAGAGGTGCCAAGCCCCTGGGAAGCTGGCCCTGCCAGCCATGGAAACCTGACTTGGGAGGGCAGCCACCGCAGAAACCTGGATTACTTCCCAAAGTTGCCATTAAAGCAACAGTCTCCACATGCTCACAGCCAACATATCAATCAATGCTTGGGCTCCAAGTTTATGAAGAACACCAACCGAGACTCCAGTTCCTTCCCAGACTGCCCCCATCAAGGCGGGAGGGAGCCCAGGTTTTTAGATCTTGGTTTGCCTGGAACTGCCTTGCAACAATTTAAAAAAAAGAAGAGAGAAAAGCAGCACTGGATGAAATATACCAATTAAAGATGCATGTGGCTTTGATGAGCATTTAGCAATCTAGTAGGAAGTGAGGCAGGAGGCAGTTCTAGTTAATGCACAGAACAGCCTTAAAAGAAAAAGAATGGTAAAAGAGTCCCCACTGGCATGCCTTATTATTGCCTCCCCCCCTTTATTTTTTTCCTAACTACTCCTATTTTGGGCACATGGAGCTGCCCAAATGAATGGGACACATCCTAGCCCCCGCACGCAGAGACTGGCAAACTCCCTGTGGCATATTCGGTATGCCAAAAACCTGTAACAATGATAGGTCTCGTTCTCCTGACCCTGAAAGAGCCTCGAATGTGGCACTTTCTAAAATCTCAGGGCTAGGACGAAGGAGACATTACTGGTGCCTGCTCGAGGAAATGAATGAACAACAGGATGACAGTGACAGTGATACAGTGATTCCTATTTTGAATGTGTATGAGGCAGCTTTTATATTTCAACTGATCTTTTGAAATCTGTATCTCTTTCTGTAGTTGGAGGAAACAGAGATCAAGCTGAAGACTTAGGCAAGAAAGAGGAATGACAAGCAAAGGATGAATGCGATCTTAATGGGGAAATCTGCTAGACAGAGAAGCTGGGAGGCCACTTCCAAAGGCTTCTTGAAATTTGCTTACCTTCATCATCTTCTACCTTTAGTGTTCACTGTCTAAACCTAAGGCTACCTTCAGATGTGAGCAGTGCCAACAGAGAACCCAACTCAACAGCTAGTTCCCAGATGCTGGTATCATTGAGCTTCCAGGAAAAGCCCCAAATGCCAGGGCTGGGACTATCATGACCCCCAGTCAGGTGGAAGGTGGACTTTTCAGTTCCCATTCTTCCATGCTCTTTAATAAGCGCAGCCCAACTACTGACTGGGGGTGAGGAGTAGGGCTCCCTGTGCCTCAGTTTCCTCTCCTATAAAATGGAGGTGATGATACCTTCTTTATCAGGTTGGCATGAAAATTGAATGCAAACCCCTGCGTACTTAGAACAGTGTTGGGCCCAGAACAAGTGGCTCCAACAGGTTAGCTAGTGCTCTATTAAGAATTATATATATAAAAAAAAGTTTGTACAGGGGCCAGAGCACTCGCCTCACATCTGGCCCACCTGGATTCCATCCCTAGCATCCCATATGGTCCCCTAGGCACCACCAGGGGGTGATTCCTGGTGGAAGAGTGGGGAGTAATCCCTGAGCATTGCGGGGTGTGCCCCCACCCCCCCAAAAAATGTTTATGCAACAGGGAGTGCATACATGAGGCTTCGGCTATACTAGCAATGTTTTACTGCTTTAAACAACAATAAAAAACTAAACTCAGAACCACCACAAAAAAAAACAAAAAGGCTACTCATAATTATGCCACCTGTCGGTGAGAGTACCTCGGAGCACACGCGGTTCCACAGCTGCTCCGCACTTTCCTGAGATGATGCTTCCCGTCCTCAGGCGGTTCTTAATCAGCGTTTCATGGGCAGGGTGCCAGGTGGATCTATACGCCCCCCCTCCCTCCCACAACTACACGAAAGTGGGGGGAGGCTCCAGCTCTGCGCCACTGGAGCGAGGCGGGGGGAGGGGAGAGAGTTCTATAATTTTCTTTCGATCCTCAATAAAGGACCCTGGAGCTGCAGCGAGCAACCTGCGTCCCGGGATCAAACTCCTGCGGGGGGGGGGGGGGGGCGGGCTGCTGCCCTCCCAACTGCTCCCACCTCTGCTGTGAAGATAACCAGCAACCCCGACAGTTGCAATGGGCCAGGCGGGAAGGGCTGGCCCAGCGGCAGCGCCCTGCACCACGCACTCCCACACCCACCTGTGAACTTCCCCGATGCGAACGCGGCCGCCACGCACACCCGGCCGCGCCTCCTCCTTTCCCCCCCATATCGCGCTCTCTTCCAAGAGAACCAACTCGGAGGAAACTGGCACGGGCTCCGGGCTAGGGGGGTCACGCCCTGCCCTCGGTTGACACTTACACCACCTCTCCTAGGCAAGTTAACTAAAAGCACAATTAATCTGCACAAAAATCCCAAACCGAGCCATGCCTTTAGTCAATGCCCTCTGAAAGTTCGCAGATTGAACGGCGCCTCGGTCGAACGCGCCCATCTGCCCGTCGAGGGGGGCGGCAGGGATGGGGGGGGCGCGTGGAGGTAGGAGCGAGGGCGGGGGTGCCAAAGGAGGCCGGCAAAGTCGGATCCCCCCTTCACCCCACCCCACCCCCGGGGACGACGCCGGGCCACCCGCTCGGAGTCTCCGCGCCGGCGGAGCCCGGCTCGGCGGCGGCGGCGGCGGCGGCGGCCAGGTAGGCAGGTAAGGTGTGGGCAGGAGTACGCCACACACCGCCGCGGCGGATTAAAGTTCAAGCGCGTCCGCGCATCGCTGCCCTCTCCCGGGGCTGGGTTCTCACGCACGGCCCGGCCGGCCACTGCCCCCCGGGGGAGCCCGGCAGCGCGATGGTGCCCCTCTGGGCAGAGGGGGCGAGCCGGGGGAGAGCCCGTCCAGGTCTCCCAGCCTCGGCGTTCGCACCCCGACAAGCATTCTCTCTCCACCCCCCCCCACTTTGGGTGAACCCCCCTAAGATGCGGGGGGTCTGGAGGGAACCGGCAGGGACTGAGCGGCGCGGGGTAGGGCGCGCGGCGGGCGCGGTACGTACCCAGCGCGAGCAGGGCGAGCTGTCCAGCCGAGGGGACCATGGTCCGGGCGGCGGGCGGCAGGCGCTCCGGCCTCCTGCCCTACCTGCGGTGCCCGAGTGGCGGAGCCGCGCGCGGTGCGCGGGGGAAAAGGCGCGGGCGAGCAGGGCCGGCCCCCGGCGCGGGCGGGCGGGCGGAGGGAGGACCGAGCGCCGCTCTGCTGGCACGCACCCTGCCGCGCGGCCGGCCGGGCGGAAATGGGAAGGCGGTTACCGTCACCTCTCCGCCACTCGGCGACCGGGGCACGGAGGACCACCCTCCCGCCCCGATGGGGGTGCCCCCCTGAGGGCACCGGGGGTGGCGGCTGGGGGCGGGGCCGCTCCGAGCGCCCGGCGCGGCCGTGGCGCGACCGGCAGGGCGGGGCGGCCCGGGATCCTCCGAGCCCCGCCGCCGCGCGAGCCCGACACCGCGGCCGCCCGCGGGACCGGCCAGGAAGCGGCCGGCTGCTGTCACCTCCCTCCGCGTCGCCGGGAGGTGCCCGGCGCCCGAGCGCGGCGGAGTCGGCGCTGGCCGCGGAGCCGCTGCCGGGACCCGGGCGCAGTGGCCGCTTCTGGGCTCTAGGGGGCGCGGCGGAGCCGCCCGGGCGCGGCTCACCTGCACCTTCACTGCCGCGACCTGAGGCTCTCGCTGGACCCGGGGGTTGCTTTGGGGACAGGTGAACTTCCCGCGCCGCCTGGAAAGACTGGGCGCCGGGAAAGTGCGCCCGGAGAATCAAGTGAGGCATTTGTTAAACCTTGGTTTTTGAACCTGCGCCCCCATCCGGGTGAAGAGCAACCCACTGCCACCCACTTTACGGGGGCTGAGATCAGCGAGTTTACGCACTGGGCCTGGGACTGACAATGAGGACAGATTCTTGTCAACAGACCCCCCCCCCTGGTCATTCGCCATCACCATCAGCCCCGGCCCAGTCCACCCCACCACAGACAGTGCGGCCCAGGGACATAGAGCTTTGAGCTGATCCCTGCTGCTGGAATTTGGGGACGTGCAGAGGACAAAGGGAAGATCACTGTGGGCAGAGAATGGCAGAACCAGTTGTCCCTTGGTGGTCATCTCCAGATTCCCTGGGGACTTCCCTGGGGACCGTCTGGCCCCAAACCAGCTGCTTCAGGGAAGACCCGTGCCCTCCTTTCCTGTGGCTGCAGGGGCTTGGGGTATCTTTTGCGGGTTCTTGGACCTAAGACTCCAACTCTTCGAGGGTGATTACTGCTGTCTGCTTAATATGAACAGAGGGCCTTTTTTTCAAAGTGCAAGCACTTGGTCCTTATGAGCAGGAAGCATCAAAGCAAAGCAGATTAAAATAATGATAAAAATAAATTCACACCAGAAAACTATTCCTTTCAATATATTGTCAGAATACTTTGCTGTTCTTTTAAATAATGATCTACAGCGGGTGCTTTATCTAAGTCTTTGGGTACATCTTTTTCTCTGTCCTCACCCCTGCAGGTACAGGTCACACATGTGCTCTTCAACAGAGTATTGGCATCTTCTTCTCCTTTTCCCTTGATCTGGCTGCCTTGGTTACAGAAGCGGGGGAATCAGGAGTGCTCCTTGCTCTTCTCCTGTCCTTCAGGACTGGAAAATGAACTCGGCACTTGTTTCCTGAAGGGGTATGCTTATCTACTTCCCCTTTGGCCACCCAAGCTGGGGAGAGTGAGGCCTAGCTGTTTCTCCTTCTTGGCCTATTGCCTATATGCTAAGTTGGGAGTAGAGGAAAAGTAGTCTCAGAATCAAGCCAACAAGCTTGTTGTCCCCTTCGAGATGGGAAAATCTCCTTAATCGAGACAATTTGTCATCTCCTGAATGAAAGAGTACTCAAATCAAACTCATTTTCTTTTATTGGAGAGGGTGTGCCATACCTGACAGTATTCTCAGTTTTGTGGTTTGGAGGGGTTTCTCCTGGTAATATTTGGGGGACAGTGTACCAGGCCTGACTGCAAAATATGTGCTCAACCCTTTGAGTTCTCTCTGGCTCTCAAAGCACATTTTAATGCTTGGAAATTCTTGGGAATATTTTCCCACAACATTTTCGAGAGCCAGTTAATATCTAGGGTTTTAGATATGTTCTAATTTGTTTAAGTCAAACAGATCATCAGAGGTTGTTGTTATTTTTAGCATCACAATATGTTTGTGAATTGACCTGAAATAATTTATGAATATTTATTTGTAGAACTAGGAGGAAACCTAGTACCCTAATATGTGAATATGTTGCCATTGGTATCTGACATATCTCATTTCTCCCCACAACAAACTTATGAGATAGATTCCATGTCCCTTTAACATGAAAACATTGAAACCTAGAAAATTTCATGACTTACCCAGTGTTAACAGCCAGTAACTGGTAGAGCCTGATTTTGAAAGCAAAATGATCTGGTTTCAAGGCCCAGATATTGACGTCTAGGCTATGCTGCCTTCGTTTTCACATTTTAAACAAGGATAACAATATTGTATACTCCCTGGTTTGATGGAGGACTAACTGTAAGGGTTTTGTTTTTTGGTGGTATTTTTTTTTTTTTGCCTACTTAATGCAGTAGTTGATATTAACTAGTCTAGCCATTGTTTAAAGAAAAACTCCCTCTGTGCACATACATTTCCCTTCTCTCAACTCCCTGCCATTATCTTATTTTATCATTTCCGTATCAGTGTCTTTGCTGGTTCATTTGCATATGTGTCTGTGTATTGGTGGTGGGGGGTGGTGGCTGTGGTTTTGTGTGAAATTGGGAGCTATGAATTTGTTTCCCAGCCTGTGGTTTTCAGAGGACATTCTGTGAATGTGCAAGTACAGGATGCAATTTTGAACAAAGAAATCATTTCCCCTACAGAATGGTGTGAGGCTTTTGTGCAGAGCCGCATGGGATTACCTTACTCTCTGAGCTGAGTGAAACTCCAGATACAGCTCCAGGAAGCTGTGTGGCAGGTAGGTGAGTTCCACTGGCCTTGGAGTCAGCTCAGGGGGCTGCCAAGGTCCCGTTTCTGTGCTCAAGAACATGTACCCGTCCCCTGCACCACCCACCCCCTTCCTAAAACTGGGGTTAGGTCTAAGCTATTTATTGTACGCTTGTTTCAGCCACCTGGCCCTGAGCTCAAGGACCAGCTAGCCCTTCTGTAAGGAGCCAATCACAGCTTCTCTCCCCTGTGCCAGCAAGATGATTCTGTTATGTTCTGCTCACATAGGCAACAAAGCCCAGTTCCCTTTACTTTCTTCTTCATGCTTAACAAAACATATGTAAAGAGTACCCTTCTTCACTGTGATGAGCCTCCCAGCTCCTTCCTGAGTCGGGTGGAAGTGATTGTGGGGCCATAGCTTTGGGGTCTTCCCTGAATAGACCAGCTAAGCCCCCTTTTGAGCTCAGCAGTTCCCTGAGTCTTACAGTGTAAACAGTGTGGACATTCTTAAGGAGAAAACACAGCTATGGGCCACAGCATTGATGGAATCACAATTCCATCCTCCATGGTAGCAGTGGTCAGGGTTTAAAACAAAACAGGGCAGTGCGCTTGGCTCAATAGAAAGCAAAGGTCAGATGTCATGTGTGAATGAGAAAGAGATTTTATAAAGGACTGTGTTTATGCAGAGTGAAGGGATTTTTAATGTGTTAAGGGATTTAGGGAAGAAATCTAATCTGAAATGAGGTATTGTCCAAGTATCAGCCCCCGCTGAAGCCTTGGCTGTTTGCTAGTTCTTATGTCTGGCCAAAAGAAAAAGTAGGAAACCTCATACTGACTCTGTTTTCAGCAGTTTTATCACCCACCTAATGCAGGATGGGGTTCGGGGAGAAGTTAGAGGCATTTGCTTTAATCCTTGGCTACCTGCATGACTTTCATCATCAAGGTGGGAAAAAGACTGGTTATGATTGGCTTACTTTTTGACATCATCCGTTCCCAGTTCTCAGGTCTACCTTGGGAATTTACACTGAAGCTATATACTTAGCTTGAGTTCCTTCCTTTAGAGGGATGATTCTAATGCTCATTAGGAAAAGCTGAAAGTTGATAGTTCCATGGGTGCTTTAAGCAGCGTCAAGATAGCCAACCTCTAAGTCTGAGACTCTCAGACTCAGATTACCAGAGACTGCTATAATTGTATCTTCTCCAGGATGCGATAGAGGTACCCAGAGGATTTAGTATAGCTGATCCAAACCATTCCACCAAATGCCTTAATATTGGAGGAGTTATGCATCTGCACACATATCTGTGTTCTGCCCTATGCCTTACCATACAGTCACACAGTTCCAAAGGCTGGGGACATTGCTCCTAAAATTCTCAGGGGGAGGAGTTCAGGTGGGGAAATCCTAAAGCCAATGCCCAGAAATCCTTAAGCAAGTAAACTAACTTAAAATTTCCCCTAGATCAAAGGAAAAGGGAGAAAAATGCAATGAGAGGAGATATGAGAGAAAATGCCAAAGCCAAAATTCCAAACTATCTTTAACAGAGAGCCCAGGCTGGGAACAGAGAGGATGGAGCAGAGAAAAAAAAACCTCTCCTGAACCCCCAATCAGCAAGGGTTAGTGATGAGAGGAGCAGGAGTAGGGAACAGAGCTGAAGGGTTATAAGGGGGATGAGAGGTTGTATAAAGGGATGATGATGAAAAGCGCAAGGACAGACTTCTATTCTGCCACAGACATCCCAAGCCTCATGCTAAACCTTCCATCCTGCCTGTCTTCCAAACTCCGGTGGAAACAGCCAAAGGAAAATGACGGGAGAATCTGTCATTGTTCAAAACTGAAAAAGGATTCCACCCACATACCAGGCATTTCAAGGAATTTCTGTAAGACACAACACAGATGAGACCGGTTTGAGAGGAGGCTTTGACAACCACTAATTCACCTCACAGGGAAATTCAGCTCTCTGTAGGGGAGGACCGCCACCAGAACCAGGCACTCTCCCAGGGCTGTTTGTGACTAGGGCTGTGGGGAAAAAAGGACTCATCACAGGAAAGTTGGAAGGGACACATCTCCATTTGTTTGAAGGAAATGCAGGAACTGAGGTGAACCCAGGGCAGGGTTCCCAGTTGGGGGCTCATGTTAATACCTGGAACCTGACAGAGGGCGATGGTGAAGGCAGCCATGGCAATTCCAAGCCAGCTGGTTGTGGTCGCAACATGCAGGAAAAAGAAAATCTTCAATAGCAAGGCAGGACTATGGTGGGTCCCTGCAGACAACTGGCTCTCGATGGTGTGCTTTCGTCCTTTCATTTCACACCAGGCTGCTCCGTTCCAGGCACCAGTGTAGGCACTAGGGATTCAAAGATGGACAAGTAAACTGTTCTCTGAACCATGTAACTGCTGGGGCAGAAGAACTGGGTTACCTCTGAAAGAAAAAAAAATCATATTGACATTTGCCACACAAATGCCAAAGACCACAAAGCAGTGTCCATGGAATTTTGAAGGGAAATGATTGTGACACAAATTTCTATTTTTGACAAAAATATTTCA